AGTAGGCAGCCCCCCACACTTAAGCATCCTCATGCTCCTGCCAGCCTTGCTAGCATCTACAGATGTGTTGCAACTCACTAAATGCTTATGTTTACAGGTACTAATCTATGGCGGCATTTATTAGTTTAATGCAGCCTAAGAGGGCTGCATGTGTAGATGCTGAGACTTTATTGTGGAGCTAATTAGTCAGTTCCTCAGTAAACATCTTGCATAATGCATCCTGTGACAGTCATAGAGAGCTCACAGCTTTTTTTCTTGTTGCCTCCTCTTAGATAGATTCATAGATTGTAAGGGGCTTGAAGGGACCTTGCAAGATCATCGGGTCCAGCACCCCTTCACTAGGCAGGCAAGACAACTGGGGTCAGGTGACCCCAGTGAGGTGACAGTCCAGTTTCCTCTGAAAGATTTCCAGGGTAGGCAATTGCACCACCTCTGGAGGGAGTTTATTCCACAGTGTGGACACCCTAAATGTGAAGACATTTTTCCTCAGTGTCAAGCTTGAAACTCTTCCAGGAGTTTGTGGCCATTACTCCTGGTTTTCCCCCCGGGTGCCCTGGTAAACAGTTGTTTTCTGAGCCCTTGATGTTTTCCCCTGATGTATCAGTAAGCTGCTACCAAGTCCTGTATCAGCCTTCTCTTTTTTAGGCTGAAGAGACCCAAGTCCTTCAGCCTTTCCTCGTATGGCTTATCTTGGAAGTCTCTGATCATATGGGTGGCTCTTCTCTGGACTCTGTCACGCTTTTCCACATCCTTGTTGAAGCGTGGTTCCCAGAACTGGACACAGTACTACAGCTGCGGTCTCACCAATGCTGAGTAAAGTAGAAGAATCACTTCCTTGGTTTTGCTTGAGATGTACTGGTTGATGATGCCAGAGTATTGTTTTCCCTGCTGGCTACAGCATCACACTGATGGTTCACATTCATCCTATGGTCTATTATTACCCCTAGGTCCCTTTCCGTCATGGTGCTAGTCAGTTTGGTGCTGCCAAGCCTGTAAGTATGTTGGGGATTGTTCATCCCCGGGTGGAGCACTTTACACTTCTCAACGTTGAACTTCATCTGGTTCCAGTCAGTGTTCCCTCTAAGGAGTTAGTGGGCTGTGAGTGCACTGCCTCGGTCTGTGAGCGCGCTTCCTCAGTCCAGCATGGGATGCTTATCGAAGGGGGCTGGGGCTGGAGGCCGGGGGCTGAGGCTGGGGGGCTGGGGCCTGGAGGCTGCAGCCGGGGGGCTGGAGGCTGGGGCCGGAGC